TCAAAACATTTATAAAAACATTTTAAAACCAACAAAACAAAACAAAAACCAGCCAACCTTCTAAGAATTGATTCAATAGACTAACCTTTAGGATTCCAGCCATGCAATTCAACATTCTTTGATGGTGCAGAACTTTTCACCTGTGCTTTTAATGCATTACTCTGTTCCCTGGGATTTCAGAAGTAGCCACTGTGCATGCCTCATTTCACACTGGGACAGTGAGTGGGTAAACTGGCAGATGCATAACTGGTTGCCTAACTCTGATATTCAGCAGTAGGGTGATGTAGTACAACCACCATATAATTATATGAGTGTATATTTTACATTGTGAAAACATGGTGTAAGATCTCAGTCGTTGTACAGAGCATAACACATGGCCTCCATATTTATTCACAATAAAATAAAAATATTACAGAAAACCTGCTCCAAGTGAACTTCTAAAAACTTCTATAAGATTCCTTTGAGGAAGACTGTTAATGTGAACTGCATTAGGCATTACATGTAATAAGCCTATATATACACACACATATATACATACAGTGCGCCCGCACCATATGCAGGCTTGCCATATGTGGCTTTGATCTTCTGCAGATGGCAAGCCTGGGCATTTAAAGTGATGCAGAAGTGCACATCCATATATATATATAAAGTCCTGAGTACTATTTTAAGGGATTTATCCCTCTACTTTTTGGTGGCTCAAAAAGCCTGACCATCTAAGTACAGCAAGTTTTTCAATTGAATAGTGTCTCATGTTCCATATCCAACTGTGGACAGCAGCATTGTCAGTTGCCAATTCATCCTCCAGCCTTAATATATGCTGTTTGAATGAGTATTCTCCTGGTGTTTTAATCTACAGGTCTATGAATTTGGAAAAGTTCAAGAGAAGAAATTATGAAAGAGAATATCTAATTGAGATATTAGCCTACTTTTAGCTTTACTTTTGGTGGTGAATATATATGTATATATGTATGTATATCTCTAAAGTCTGCAAAATCAGGGGAGAAAATAATTGGGAAACCTATACAGGATATGCAATTAAAGGTTGTGTTTCTGAAAAAAGCTGTAGCATGACTGTGGGTTTAACACAGAGCCTTTGAAATCCACATGACTGATTGCTGTGTGCTCTCATCCATTTCAGAAAAAAGTGCATAAGTTACTGAACAACAGTGCCAATCTTTCTTTGACACATTCCCTTCATTTCTTTTAGGAGAACCATACTCACCCGGATAAAGATGACCTACAGTTTCAGACGATCCTTCAAAATGTGGAAACTTGAAAGGAGGAGAAATATTTTGAAGCTTGTCACATTTTTTTGCCATCCAGTGGCAGCTGTTGCAATGTGAAATGAAAACTGTCGATCCTGTGGGAAACTAGGCATTCAGGGGTGGAAGGGTGGAGGAGAGCAACAGACTGAGAAGTTGACATCTCTGCTTTGTTTTGAGCAACCATCCCTGCTGTTTCTTTTGCCTGTACAATTTAGAAGTGGTTCTGTGCTGTCCTTTGGGGACTTTGACAGGTGAAATTAACTCCCCCAGTGTATCACAGTAGTCATCTTTTAAAAGGTTGGTGTCATGCCCTCCCAGGAGGGCTCCTCTGATGAGGAAGGAAAAGAGGACAACCCAAATGATGGGCTCTAGTCACACCCAGAGGTGGTTGGTAGCCCTTCTTTGGGGTCAAAGGAAGTTAGAAGCCTTACTTTGGAAGTAGAGCCTGAACCATCCTATGTAGAACCTGATGAAAAAGAATCAGAGACACTGCACTTTTCTGAATGTTTGAGGCCAAGCTGCAGCAATAATGAGGCAGGACCTGCATTGGTGTGCTTTAAAAAGGAAGTGCTAAGATAGTTAGGCCAGCTGTATTGATTCACAACAGGCTATTAAGTTAGCACAGACAAAGCTGTGAGACCTCCCTGTTTTCTGTTTGTAATTGTATTACACTCCCTGTTTTCCCATTTTTTGATCTCATTTTCTTTGGCTTGCTCCTTAGACTATTCTCTTCAGTGGCTTCCTGCTTGGTTTTGGACTACTTCTTACTACTTCAAGGTTTCATGCTCAAACCCTGGGCTGCTTTGGCTATGCTTTTACTTTCACAGCCTTCTTTGTTTGACCCTGTTCTGGCTTGTTTCTCCATTGCTTGTTCTCTTAAACCACATGTGAACTGTCCAGGGCACTTATTACCCTGATTTTCATTTAATTTCCTTCAGGAAAAAAAATATGAACAGATTCATTTATTTATTTGTTTCCCCATGTTTTCACTATAAATAGACACTCAAGATGGTTAACTATAAAATACACATCATAAACAAAATCTTGTTCAAAACATAGCATAAATGATTGGCCAAAATCCAATTGCTAGTTAAAACAAGAGTGGGTCCACTGGACCATAGGAACTTACAGGCTGAACAGACCAGCACTTTAGGTTGGCCTGGGGATGGAGTGTGGTGTGGTGACCGCATGCTGTCCACCCTGACTCTGTCCCCATGCCGGCTTCATGCCGCGTGCCCCATCGCATGGCAGGAGGCATCAGGGCACTCCCTTGGTGCAGCAACCACACATGCTGCACCAAAGGAGTGCAGAAAAGGCACCACCGTGGCGGCAAGGGTGGCTTTTTGCCATCCTAAAAAGGAGCGGCATTTTGCCAGCCCTTTTTAGAGTGGCAATGCACCAGACTGGGGTTGTGGCATGTGGTTTCCACAGCCCCGATCCAGTGAGCAAAGAGGCAGCTTGCCACCATCCCTTTTGGGCAGTCTGTACAGCCCCTTACATAGGTATTGACTTGCTGAGTTCCAGTTAATTCATTGAGTCATCTTGAATTGGGACTAGCAACTAGATTTAGTCCAAAAAAACCAACAACAAACCCACACCAAAAAAACAACAACAACAACCCTGAAAGCATAACAATAGATAACATTGCCAATTCTCAACTGGCCTTTCTTCAACAGCAGACTAGCATACCTACCAAAGTCTTATCTGAGCTGAATAAGAATATTATTGCCTACTGGTGAAAGAGCAACAAGGAAAGTGAAAATTTGACTTTCCTTGATGGGCGTATCTGTCAAGATGTCCATCTTCTGCATTCTCACCAAACATATCTTTCCTGGTGGTTGGATCTACATGGAGAGGAATATCTCCTTGAGCAATCTTTTGTAGGAGATCATGGTATTTCCTGTCATCTGATCCTAAACATTAACATTATCATTTTTCCCTGAAAAATAAGTCTGTTGACATATATGTGTAATACAACTCAAGATCAAAGTTTCAAACAGTTTCTCCTCTCAGGCTTTGGTGTAATTGTCAGTTTTGAACTTTAGGAGCTCATTGTGATAAGCCCCAAGGCCCAAAAGCAGAGTTTATAGCTACGACCTCATGTGAAGTCCAAACATCCAAGGAAGGGGGTTGTTCTATATACAGGATGATGTAATGGTTAGTATGTTGGGTCTCGGCTGAGGAAACATGTAATTGTATCCCTGATACAGTTCAGCTAGGTGACCTTGGGTTACTGACTCTCTGAACCTAGTATTATCTCATATGAAGTTAAAGTGGTGTATCATATTCCCATGAGCTCAATAGAGAAAAGACAGATAAAAATATAAAAAAAAAGATAAAATGGGAACAATATTAATATGCCATGCATGATGTACATAGTTTTCTATTTGACAAGCCCACGAGGTTCATTTTTAATGGTTTATAACCGATGGTAGTTCTACTTCTGTTTTTCTAACATATCTTTAATGCAATGCCAAATAGAGGTGGATCTGTCAGTTACCCCAGTACTCTAGGAGGTTATGTTGTAACCCCTACTTGAGGG